GTTTCATCCTTACAGGAGTTTTGAAGCTACACACTGACACACATGTTATAACATACCTAATAACAACCCTCCTTTTTGCGTCTGGGGCTAAAAAATAAAAAGTAACGATGCCTTCTCTTCGATTTTCTTTTTGTTTTACGAGAATGTTCAAAAAAAGTTTATACAACCCGAGTTCTCTATAAATTCCATTGAAGAACAGACCTGTTATTTATAAGAAAGAAATAGCTAACCTGAGAAAGGTATTGGCATCTGAATAAAAAATAACATTTACATTGATTCTTTTAAATTTCTTGTGTACAATTTGCCAATGGCCTCAGTCGTGTTGCGGATCGCCGAATTAGCTACGAGTACCTAAGCGTGTGTAAGATTACTTTTATTTATTAATTAAAAATACATTGAGAAAAAACATATATGCACAGAGTATGTGTATGTCCCTATTTTGTTAATAATGTTGTCCCTAATTTAAAGGAACCAAAATGATTTAACGATCAAAAATGAAAAACCTGGTTTCTTCTCATTAAACTTGTCTCTTAGGCAATGTTAAAACTGTGTTTCTCACTGAACGGGTGTACAAATTTGTTCTACAACTTTTAAGAGAGGGGTTGCCGATAATTTAGTTTGTGACCTCAATTTCCGCGTGAATCTGGTCGAGAATAAAGTGATGAAAAACAGGGTTCAACTTGATAGATACTCGAAAGTGATACTAACAGTTTTATTTGCATAATGTGCTTTATAGAAGTATATTATTTGTGTTTTAAAATAATCAAATTATATTGTGCAAACTAAACATTCAGTTTTTTTAAGTTTTCATTCATTCATTCATCATTTCAGTCATTCGAAACACATTTTGATGAAGAGACAAATAGGGTAGGCTTCAAACCGTTTTAAAACTTAAATACAAATTGTTTTCATTATAAAGGAATAAAAATACTAATAATAAAAAAAAATAAGAATCACCATACTCCTTTGCGTACGGTGATTCTGATGTTGTTGTTATCAATGTACCTATTAAGTTAAGTTCAGTTATTCTCAGTTCAGTTGTTTTAGTTGAATTTAATGTGTAATTTGATTATGCTATTTGTTACTAATTTATTAATGGGACATATTATGACTGTAATCAACTAAGGCAGATATTTTATCTGCCTTAGTTGATTACAGTCATAATATGTAAAGTAGTCACAGAATCATCATATATATAGTATAGTCATAGTCATAGAATCGAAAGTAGTCATAGAATATCAATATAAATTTTTATTTGTCATTTTGACAAATAAAAATTTGTATTGATATTCTATGACTACTTTAGCCATCTGAGGGATATTTTCGTGTGATGTTTCGGGGATCACCTGTGTCTGATCCGCAAGGAGCCAACGCCTGAGTGCCACCACTGCGATGCCCAGACCGTGGACACGGCACTCCACACGCTGACAGAGTGCCCGGCGTGGGTTGAGCAGAGGCGAGACCTCGTGGCGGCCATCGGAGTGGGAGTTCTCTCGCTCGATAGCCTGATTGCGGCTATCGTGCGGAGCGAGAGTGCGTGGAACTCTGCCGTCTCGAGCAAGTTATCGCGAAGGAGACGGCGGAGCGGGACCGGGAGAGGTTTAGAACTCTCCCGGCCCGCCAGGCCTGGGAACGGGCTAAGTACCGCAGGCGACTCAGGCGCCGGAGGTCGCAGAACGATCTCCGTCCTCCATAAGCGCAGGCCTGGGGGTGACAGGTGAGGCCATCTGTCACCCTAGCAGAAGCAGGCCGGAGTGACGGCGAGTGCGTTGCGAAGCGCGCTCGCTACTAGGGAGCAGAGGGAACATGGGGTTCCCACACGGGGGGGTTCGTCTACTCGTCTATAGATGGCCCGAGGTATGTCGGGGCACCAGGGACTTCCTTTCTAGGGTATACCTGGTTCCCCGGCTATTAGTACCCGAGACGGCGTGCGGTTTTAGTCGGTTCGAGTCTGAGATGCCACCGATGGTGGTATCCGAGGGGATTTCCGCACGAAAAAAAAGGGATATTTTCGCGTGATATTCTTAGCATTATAAATGTCCAACTGCTGCTATTGTGGCCGTGCCACTGTTCTTTTTGTAATCACATGTAGCTATGACGCCGTTGCTCGCGTAAAGCTGTTTCTCTGTCTTGTAAATAATGCTATCTTCTAGGTAAAATTTACAATTTATTCTATTGAACCTTTGACAGTGTGTGTAAAAAATGTCACCAGAAAGCACAAAGAATAAAAACACTGCGGTTTCTAAGTATTTTACACAGATGGGCTCAAAAATAAATGAAAGAGAAAAGTCTCATAGACTACTAAATACTCATGACCACAGATAGCGTAGTATAGTGTTGCACGTACGTCAATAGTTTTAAGCTTTTAAAAAATGTAATATTATTGTAGTTGTATTAAGTAAAAATAAATTAAGTTGTATGCTGTGTTCTCTTACAGAATAAAGTTTTTTTTTTTTTTTTAAAGAGAAGGTTAGGCTTTTTGAAGCAAATAAACGAGGCACATAATATTTGTAGGTATGCTCAACAAATTCATGGATCTTTTTAATCAGTGTACCAACAACTAGTAGCTTTTCATAAAGTTAATGAAAACCACGAGAATTTTACACCAGATATGTACATACACATACGAGTACATATCTGGTGTTATACATATCTGGTCGTATTGAATAAAAATAGTAGCAAATTATTATGTCATCCATATAAATATGATACTGTATGCCAAAAATCATATTTTGTTCATCCGTGTGGTGTCACCACTCCTATTCATCCTATGGGTGTCGTAAGAGGAAGGAAGCAAACTACGCAGCATTGCAAAGAGAAGGAAAACTTAAAAGCCAGTAAGCATTTTTACCAATCCAAGGTATTTTTTTACCTTAATTCAATTATTTTGTAAGTTGTCTAACAACAGAAATCTAAATTAATTATCTATTTCATTTAAAAACCTTTATTTGGTTTTAATAATTAATTACTTTGCTTTCGATTCGTTAAGCTATTAAGTAACTTTTAGTTCAAAGCCTATAGCCTATAGTCTCTATTTAATTGAAAAATTTACGCAATGAACTCCAAATTTTTAAGTTTTTTTTTTTATCTAGAGTAGTTACACTAACAGAATTTAATACAGTATTTTTTTTTTATATATTTGAGTTTTTTTTTACAAGTAACTTTAGGTGCGGCCCTCTTTGTTTTTAAGATTCTGTAGGCCTTTCTAAGGGGTTTCTATAGTTTTGCCATATTCATCTGTCTGCCCATCCGTCCGTCTGCAGCTCTGCGTAGAGACTATTAAAAAGGTAAACTAAAAAAAGTTTATTAAATGACCTTCCTTCGCCTAAAGTTGAGCATAGTTTTTTTTAACTATTACATAGTAATCGATACCCTATAAGATAGGTCTTTCAAGATTTTTGCAGAAATATGAAGACTTCTTTTAATGAAAGAGAGGGCAAATGAGCAGACGGGTCACCTGATGAAAAGTGACTACCGCCGTCCATGAACGCCTGCAGCTCAGGAGTCACAAGGCCTTTTATGTAAGAGTACGCTCTTTTCTTGGAGGTTTGAAGGTCGTATCAAACCGTTAAACCAAGTATCCTCCCTCTTCCACAAAAAATCAAACTGTTAGCTTGAAAAACTGAATGGATCTCCTATTTTCCAAGCTGATAGTTTTTAGTTTTCTTAATTAAGAATTGCAAAAAAATACTGAACGTAGTTACGTCTGTTAGTTTAAACGTAAAAGTCACCCAACTTATAAATTGTAGGTATACATTATACAAAACCTTAGAAAACAAACTACTTCCTACTTTGTATAAAAGGGGTAGTTTTAAGTACTACCCTGACACGCATTAAATCATTTTTTTACATTTATGTTTGCTCTCATGTCGCGTCTTTTTGTCGTAGAACTTAATCTATGTTTTATATAGCCTTGCATTACAGTGGCATCATTTATTTACTTGCTTATTAACATAATAAAAATATTAATTATACAAGATATAGCACTTAAATATTCTAGTAATACAGCCAATACATCACTTGGTGTTTAAGTCTGTCGACACATAGATTGTTTTTAGTCCATAACAAATATAGTTGTGATAGTTTCCCAAAGACCTTTGCTCTTGCCTTTTATCTCAAGGTAGCCAAATGTAATTCTTCTACTCATCTTTCGGGCCTGTTAGCCTTGCGGTTTTAGTGACCCTGGCTGCTAAGCCGGAGGTCGAGGGTTTGATTCCCACCCAGGATAAATATTTGTGTGATGAGCACAATCATTTATTCTATGTCATAGGAGTACCCCATTTATTGTGGCAAGCTGCTCCAATGCTTGACGGCATTCGAAGACAATACCAGAGGTCATTGTGTTGCCCCCTAGTGCCTCTATGACGGTTATGCTGTCTGACAGTATTCGGATGTCACAGTCCTTAATGACCCTTGACATGGCCGTTGTGGCGGCGTAAGATATTGCCACACATTCGCATTAGAATATGGAACTGTGTTCGCTTAACGCTAATGATATATTCATATTTAGGTCTTGCGAGAAAACTCCGACTTCCAGTTCCTGACCTAGTCTTGGAACCGTCCGTGTAAATTCGGACTTCGGTAGTCGCTGAAATTGCTGCAATTTTTTTATGACGGTGCTCTGTTCTCTGCCACCAGACAGTAGCACCGTAAGTGATTATTGGTCTTATGACTATCCTGTAGAGCCTGTAGAGTGTAATCTTTGGTGATAGTCTCTAGCTTTTGCCGAGTAGCCGCCTGCATTGGCTGAAGACAATGCAGGCTTTGATTGTTTTTTCATCGAGGTGCTTATTCCACACATATGTATGTATATACAATTATTTAATTATGATTATCAGCAGTCTGGCTACCAATAGTACAGACTCTGCCTAATTTGGGATCGACGTAAGATGATCGATCGATGAGACGGCCGTGTGTAAATGTGTGAGGTCATCTTCTGATTCTTGCTATTTAACAACTCCCAATAATACACACAAACTAACATTATTTTTTCTTTCCAGAGACCTGAGATGCTTAAGGAACACGATACACACGAATCTTATGACAACTTACATTCTATCAGCTTGTAGTTGGATTTTAAATTTAGCTTTACAAGTAAGTATGCTTTTACAATTAATTTATAATTTTAAGACAACTTCTGAACTAGGAAATATCCTTAGGACCACGAGTGACTGTACTAAAACTTAGGTAAGAATAAATACAAATGTATTGAAATAGTTATTGAGTTTTCAGTCTTAACTATGTCCCCCCTGTATGTACATTTGCATCAAAACACGGTGACTGAAATATGTACCTATGCACATTTTAAAGATTTGAATTAACCTTCAAACAAATAAGGGACAAAAGTAAGTATGATACTGTCGGAAGTAATTGTTCATCATAGTCAACTTCACTCATACCCGGGAAAACAAGGGTCAAGTAGCCTTACATATATGGTACACTTGAGACTTGTTGAGTTTCAAGGATCGTTAAGCTGTGTCTAAATATGAATCAAATTGAAATAGTTATAACTATATTACAGCGTTTCCAAACCTACATTTATGTGTACAGTGACACTACGGATGATGTGAATGTTTATTAAAACACTTCATGGTGTTCTCTTAAAATCACTCCCAGCACTGCATGTGTGCCATCCTGGATATTCCTATATTTTAAAGCACACATCTATTACGTGCATTTTTTTTAAAGGAATACTTTCACGTGTTCACATATATTCATTTACAAACCTAACCAACGTTTTTAGACTAGAATTGACATTATTTGTCTTTGAAAGATTGCGAATTGATTTCAGAAATGAGAACAATCAGAACTTTAATACTTTCGTTAATATTAGAAATATTAAATACCTATAAATTTTAATTTTTATCAAATTAAAAATTTCGCGTTCTACAATAAAAAATCACATTAACGAGAGTTACCACGACTGTTTAGCAATTTTGAAACCTTTCAACTGACTTTCGTTCTATTAATTAATATAGTTATATCGTTTTAAAATTGCCGCGGTTACCAGTTATCCGGTACTTATACAATTATGTAAACCATTGCGGTTTTTTAAACTCAATAGTATATTTTTAATAATGATATTCATGTTGCCAGCGTGCTTTAAAACTCAGAGTGATCCGTTTGTAGACATGATTTATTCTAGAAAGACTTTAATTCTTCTGTGGTTTTTCTATTGTAGTGATATTCTTTATGACCTAAATAAATAAATGAAAATAACGTACAATTTCCACATACAGACAATGAGATATTAAAGATCCGGAAGGTTAATATATGTTAGAAGAAACAAAAGGTTTAAGCGTAATGCGCTATTTTTCATGACTGGACAAGGGTCGTGACACCACCATTAATTAACCTAGACGAGCATCGCATTTCAGCAGTCAACTCGTCACGACGTAATTGAAACCACAACATCCCAAGAGGTGATATGAATAAAAGTCATACTTACGATATTTCTTGGAAAATTAAATAGAAAATAAAACTGTGGATTTTTCAGTCAAATGGATTTATTTTCTTT